TCATTATACTTTATCTATTACCGCTCTTTTCATTATTACTAACAGCTGTTATTCTTCTGAATGTGCTTTAGTTTTGAACATGGAATCTCATGAGATATAAATGTGAATAAACTGATTTCAAACTTTACATAAGTGCAAAATTCACAGTATTTAGTGTGCTTCTGGTTTTCTTAAGATGCTCTGCAGTCTTGGAGTTGGATTCAGAAAACAGATACGTGATTTTTATGAAGCATCTGTAAATTATAACTCAAATACTAAAAGTGAGAAATGGTATTCCACAGAGTTCTATATATGTATCACAAGCAACTGTGCTGGGGTGCGCCAGTGCGTAAATAAATAGTTCATTGAATTGCAATCTGCTGTCTAAATACCAGTTTGGTTGTATATAAACTCGTGATAATAGCAGTATATATTTGTGGCTTTGAGATTATGGCAGAACTGAATTTATTTGTAGTTCCAAATATAAATGTTTTCCATGCAACACAGATATGGCAGTATTGCAGCGATTTTCAGAAGTAATCCACTCTGATGGGTAAGCTGTATGTGCACTTGTAATAACACTAAAAATTGATAGAAATGATATCTGTTTATGTTTTGGTATTTAGGATACTATCTACAAGTAAAAAGATAAGGTGGTAAGAAAGCTAATATCTGGTGAGGAAATAAGATCTATGTTGGCTTTTAAAACAATTTTTTTTGCAAAACAAAAAGAATTATCATAAGCAGAAAACTACTCTCCGTTGGGATTTAATCAAAGGTGAACTTCTCCACCTATTATTCTTTCTCTCTGGTATTCCCATGCTCTTTCTACTCAGAAGACTTCACACAAGCCTATGAGAAAGAAAACCTAGTATTGACTTGCTGTTTACTGAGTATAGACCTATGCAATGTAATTGCATATCATACCATTTCTTAGTCCCAGTTAAGTTGGTTGAAAAAATTAATATAAAGCATCTAATGAAAAGGCTCAAAAGTATATGATAAAGTTAGGAGATAGAACATGATAGAAACGAAGAGTCTGAATTTCTCAGAAATATCAGTAGATTTAAGATTAGTTCTAATCACACAGAGTATCAATCACTAGTATAGACATCTAAATGAAAGGGTTTTTTTTCAATACACAGCAGTATTCAAAAAAACAAGAATAGTTTTGATCTGTTTAAAAACAGACAGAAAATAATATATGAAACGCATCACCACTAAGCCTCAGAAGAAATACTGAATTCAGTATCAGTTGTCTTAAAATTAATGGCAGAAATATGCAACAATAAAAAACACCAATCTCGCATATGGGTAATTATTAAAAGCTCAGGAAGATTTTTTGTTGGGTTTTTCTTCTTCAGCAAAGTTTCCTATTTTAGCAAGGATACAGTAGAAATATTTTATGATCCTGTTTAGACTTTCTCATACTTCAAGTTCTGGAGATTGAGATGTTGGGAATTTGCATAAGCAATGAAGACAACTAGTTTTAGTTCTAGATATGGTGGAGTTTGAAGAGGTTATTCAATATCCCATGCTTCAGGTCTTAGGTCAAAAAATACTCTCTTGAAATAAGACAGAAAGCAGTTTTATCACTATTTCATGGATTATTTCTTTCCTCCTGTGGTTTCTTTGGAGCAATACAGTGATTAGTAGGCTACTATAGTATTTAGAGCACAGGTTTAGTCCATCTCTGTACTCTTGCTATTCCCAGAACATTAAAGTATTAAGCAGTAACAGCATTATGAAGCTAAAATAATAATACAAATCTGTATTAAAAGAGCATTAGACTTTTTTTTTCTTCCTGACAAATCCAGTCTTTTTCATTGTTCATCATAGATGTGGTTTGCATTGCTCAAAATCATGGGGAGAAGAAGGCATAGCTTCCTTTGTCATATGATTAACAAAGCTCTTCGTTAAAGCAAAAAGTAAAAAAGTATCAAGGAAAAGAACTGACAGCTAGGTAGCTAAACAGCACAGAGAGTATGCTCAGTCTCTAACAGAGCTTTTGTTATGTTGATCAAGACCGACCAAACTTTATCCAAATAGTCATTAAAAGTATTCGTTTGTTTTTTGGCAGCTGAATTTGAGACATTAGGGGTCTAACTTAACTACTGAGGTCAACAGCAATTGTGCTATATTCTGTGTTCTACAATGTTAATTACTCTGAACAAGGCAAATCTTAAAAGAATTTCAAATAGAATGCCCCAAATTTGTAGACATTTTCAGCATTATATCCTTGTCTCTTATTTCGCATTTATCAAACTAGGATGTTATCACGCTACAACCTTACCCTGTAAAGATATAAGTTCATAATTTTGAACCCATTAGATAATGAACATCATAAAATATCTAAGGAATTTGATATTCATAGAAGAATTTGAATTTTGTGCAATAAATAAGCAACAGAACCCTTCTTTCTGAACAAAGAGAATATAAAGTATTGAAGTGCTTCTCCATCACTGAGAGAACTTCATTTTGAACATGGAATGGGCAGTTGGTTTGTTGTTTGTTTTTTTTTTTAAATAGTAAGTTAGGATATAAGAAGTGAATTACAGTGCTGCTAATGCATAAGAAAAGTAGAGGTTACACAGGCAACCTTCATTTTCATCTTTCCTGACTTTCTTAAAGTGCTTATATGTGTATTTGTCCTGGGTTCAGCAGTAGCAGTCATTTTTCCCCTTCTTGGTAGCTGGTGCAGTGCAGTGTTTTGCCTTTCAGCCTGGGAACAGAGCTGATAGTAATGTTTTGGTTTGGCCAAGGACTTTGTGAGCCTCATGCTCTGCCAGGGAGGAGGGGAAGCCAGGAGGAAGCAGAGACAGGACACCTGACCCAAACTGACCAAAGAGCTATTCCATACCACAGCACGTCATGCCCAGGATGTAACTGGGAGTTAGCCGGAAGGGCTGGGGGACTGCAGGGTTGGAGGAGGTATCGGTCGGTGCTTGGTCGGGCTGAGGGGGTTGAGTTATCGGTCAGCTGGTGCTGAGGTGTTGTATTCTTTTCCCTTGTTATTTCCTTTATCATTATTATCACTGGTGGTAGCAGTAGTGATTTGTGTTATACCTTAGTTACTAACCTGTTCTTATCTCAACCCGTGGGAGTTGTATTTTTTTTTCGATTCTCCTCTCTGTCCCTCCGGGAGCAGGGGGAGGGCAAGAAAGGGGGGGAAGTGAGCGAACGAATTACCTGACTGGGTTTAAACCACGACAGTATTTTAAAGATGAAAGTTATACCTACAGTGGAATATATATACTTACATATGCACAATAAAATAACTGTACTGACCTGCCACAACGTATGGTGAGTAGCTTTTCTCTCTAGGATCCACTATCAATCTGATCTCTGACTGATGAGCGTTTACTTACTTCTTAGACATGTAAAATAAGATGTGTCAATTTGGAGCAGGATCCCAGCTTCTGAGTTTTTCATGTGAATAAAAAATACCAAAGTCAATCATTATTTGCATAATTTTCAAAATTGTAGACATACACAATTAATTCAGCAACTTTCAGAAATCAAAGTAAGTGAGAATGTCCCATGTCCTTTCCCCAAAAAAGAGCTTTTCTGGCATTATAGATTCCTTAAGCTCTATCAAGTCCCCCATACAATCTTTTGCCATTATAGCCCACATCATTTTAGTTGCAAAATTTCTTAAGACTATATTCTAGTCAGTTGTTTCCCAAAGAAAAGTAGGTTTTCTTAGGTTGCACTCATAATCTTGGTTAGAATTTTATCATGATATTTTACCAAATAAGAAAAGCTAATGTTACATTTTTAAGCAGCTGACTAGTAAAAAAGCTGATGATGTTTTGAAGTACACACCAAAATCTTTCTTTCATTCATGTAATCAAATACTGCCTTCTTTTAGAATTAATATTTTGAGATTTTTAGGCTTCTGGTTTTGGATTTTTTTTTTTTTTTTTTTTGCAAGCAGGTATTTCAGCAAATAAGGGAAAACTGCTTCATTTCTTTGCAAATTATTACATAATGCTATGTTTGATTTCTTCTCATAGCTAGTGCTATGCACACAGTCCTACAGTTAGAGTCTACATATGTGTATGCAACTTCTAGGAAGAATAAGATGAATGCATTTATCTTTAACAAAGTAGTTATAGAGATGCAACTCTTAGTGGGGACACAGTTATTCTGAGTAGAATATGTTAACTTAATGCCATGTGGATAGAGTGATGTTATCCATACCAGTACTGTAAATGAGGTAGTACAGATAGAAAAAGGTCTTTTTCTTCCCGCTCCCCCTTTTTTTTTTCTCCTCCTAGTCCTTACAGCAACAGGCATAAACAGAGCCTTTATCTTTAATAATCCACTCTGACTGTGCCAAAAACTGCATTTTTCTGTAGTTTATTTTTTTGTGTATTTGTACTAAATTGCATGTAAAACTTGGTTCAAAAAGACTTGATTTCCTGGTGGGTTTTTTTGTTTGTTTGTTTGTTTTTTTTAATGGTTACTATTACTCTGAATCTGTTTGCAAAAGTTCCCAGAAATAAAAAGAACACTCAGATCTATTCTTTAGAGACTGTCTGTAAAAAGGCATCATAGTGTAAATTCACTATTATTATAATGACTATAAGAACTAAAATTGCTAACAATACTCCTGACAATACTTGTTCTTCATGTGTTTTACTACCTACAAACTAACTAGCTAATTCATCACAATAAACTGTATAATTTGTGCACATTTCAACTTAATAACAAATTAAATGAGACAACCATTAGCTTGATGGCATAACAATGGAATTTTGTCTTATAAATTTGTTTTTTCATGGAATTTATATGTAGCACTGACTGGTTTTGGATGGTTTTCAGACAAGATAAAATAGTTAAGTTTAAGGAGAGAATTGTTTTTTAAGAGACTAATAATTCATGCCATAAGTATCTTTTGTTTCTGTACATAAGCAAGAACCAAGCAGCATACAAAAATCACTTTGCAGAGGGTAAGGGTTTTGTTGTTTGCAGTATTTTATAATGCTGTTTTTTTAAGAGGTAATCTCTCATTTCAGAGCGTCTTTGCCAGGGAGAAGCATCCACTGAAAGTGAGCTTCCTGAAGGACACCCCGCTGAACAGTTTGCTGGTTTACTCCATGGATCATCACCTGCGTGTGACCCACCTGATAATCCATTCCAGCTGTACAGCAAAGTAAACCAGTGCAGTGGTCCACTAGAGAAAAGCATTTTGAGCAAGAGCACAGTTCAGCAGATACAGCTGCAGAAAGAAAGCAACATTGATGCACCCGTTAAGAAAAAAAAGCCACCAATTGTTAACAGAACCATATTTCATACTAAAACTAAACCAGTAGAAAATCATACGTTGGTTGGCACATCAACCAGGATAAGTGAACAATGGGTTATCTCCACTGGAGGATTTGTTGAGCGAGCGTGCACGCTTGGGAGAATACGATCTTTTCCAAAGACTTTGCTTGAAATGCATTTGTGCAAAAATGTGTCAAAATCTGATTCTAATCTTATCACCCGTCCACCAAACGACAAAAAAGCAAGAAGCAACTGGAGTGAACCCACACCAAACCAGCAATGCTCCAAAGAGAATTCGGAGAGAACACCTTCCTTCACATCAGAATGGGAAGAAGTAAGTTATATTTATTTCTAAGAACAAGAAAATATACAGTATTGTGAAAATGCTGTTATTGTTTGAAATAAAAAATTCATCTTTCACACTGCAAATCTTTGGAGACTATGTCCTAGTGTAATGCATAGTAGTTTGACAGCTGCAACAAAATGCAGCGCATTTCTGTTCAAACACTGCACGCTTAATGAAGCCTATTGTGTCCATGGGGAATGAAGTTAACTGGAAGTAATTCTGCAGTTCATTGTGACATTGAAATTATTTTCTACTAATGCCTCACCACCAACACTAATTAAATTGGTAAAATTCTTTGTAGCTGTGTCCATATTTAGATACTTGATAATTATTTCCCACCATGACAATGCCCACCAGCAAGAGACAAGAGAAAATGGCAAGAATGGAGAGTCTAAGATTTTTAGGTTGATTATGCATTCTACAAACTCTCCCTATATAACATGTTATCTAACTGGTGTGTAACCTGTGTACAGAATCCTTGGCAAAAACCTTACTCTTTTGTGAAGTGGGAATACACTTACAGATACGGTGAATTCAGGACTATTAAAAGAAATGTCCACGCTGAGTTTGTAGTACACATGCTTGCTCCCACAAGAGTGTTTATTTTAGTTTTATAACTATATTTAAAATAAATTTTAAACACCTATTTTTTCCTCCTGTGTTACATTTCAAGGATGCAAATGGTTCTTCATAGACACAAAACTTTCCATCTTACTGAGGTAAATGAAAAGTGGGAAACATTTAAATCTTACTGCTATTACAGAGAAGCAAGTTTTTCTCTTTAAAATGACTGCTACAGAAAATCTATATATCTCCAGAGTGCTACTTTATTTCAGAAAGAACCCAGAGCTTGTGTTTGGTTATTTTTCTAGAAATTCTAGACAATTCTATTTTCCCAGCTCATCTAAATGTCTGTTTTGATAAGGCATCTGAAGGTAGTTTTTGTTGTAAAATAACTACTTTCTCAGTGACATGTTCTTAAGATCAGGTTTGGATCTTAATGATTTGGATGCATTGTTATGAAATCCGAATATGAGTCAGGTCCAAGTTTGCCTTTCTAGGAAGACAAGTTTTGTTTGTTCTTAAGAGTAAGAAAAAATGTAGTTTATTTTAAAAACAAAAGATATGAATTCTAAATCTGCAGATTCTGACATAATTTCCAGATTGCCCTGATTTCTCATATCACCAGTGGCAAATACGTAGTTTTTTAAATGGAGGCTAATGTTTTTCTAATAGTCCTAATATTAATCATAGTAAAACCTGGAACTCTGCGTCTGCCTTCTTAGACAGCACCAGCTTTTGATTCACCTTTTGTTTTGTCTTGTTCTTAAAGAAAAAAAAAAGGGTATAATATTTTTTACATAGTAAGTTCAAAGTAATTTAGAAATGCACAGATGAGTTTTGGGATCAGCGTAATGCTGTTTCATGAACAATACCTTTCTGTGGTATGTGGGGACACATCTATGTTTCATGCCTATTTGTGGCCTTGGGGCAGATGGAAAAAAGCAGCATAGGAAATTCTCTGGAAATTTTCAATGAACAATTGCTTTAGTACTTCATAACACACAAAACAATATTCTTATGCATTAATATTACTGCTTAAATAGATCTCTGCTGGTTATACCTACATGACCATAATCATAAGTATGAACTGTAGAAAAAGAAATACTAGTCTTAAGCTTTAGCTTTTGCTAGTGTACAAATGTTGCAAAATAAAAATCAAGGCGGAGAAATTGTCTACCTTTGATTTTTACGTTTCGCAATGTTGATTGTTATTTTTTTAACTGTAGTAATAATGCCAAAAATTTATGCATGAGAAAGCAAAATGAAGTGATAAAGATGGGACCCATCAATTGTTTTCACTGTTTTCTCTTTTGTAGATTGATAAAATCATGAGTTCTATAGATGCTGGAATTAATACTGGACTGGAGGAGATGAGTGATCACGCTGCAAGTAAGGAAAAACAAATAACTATTGTTTCATTTTGACTTAACTGTCTATAGGGAAACCAGGGATAAGATATTGCTAAGTAACCCACTGTGTTGAAATCATTTGTAGGTATTTGAATAACCATGAACAGAATCAATGTTGTTTACTGCTGGAGGTGCATTAGGTCCAGTATCCTGGAGCTGTTACTTTAAATAGCACATTGGAGTCATTAATGTTGTTTTTAAATCTTACCAGGAAAAATATTCCATTAGTGCCTACTTACTGAGGCCTTCCTGCTAGGGGGATATTTTCCAGTCTTTTTCAGCTGAGTTTTTGTTTGGAATGATGGGACCCTGAGTATATCTAATCCAATTGCTGCTGACACTTTTTAAAGCATCATGTTACCTAATACTGCTTCGATCAAATATTTGTCACAGGGCTGAAAATGTTGCTGACAGCCAGTGACTAGTGTTAGCAATGTAGGGAAAAGTTACAAACATTTCCTACCATGGTGACTTCTAAGAACTCCACGTCATGCCTAGCCTTTTGGTGTGTCAGTATAAACCTGTGCAACAGTGCTGATAAGAATTTTGAAAGTATTTTACTATATCTTCTTCCTAACTCGTGGAAGGAAAACTGACTTGTACGTCTGAATAATTTGGTCTTGAGGCAAAGCTGTTAATTCACCTGTACTGGTACATTCCTGTTAGCAATTCCAATTACTTGGGTTTATCTATTGGACAGGAGACTATGTACCTTTTTGCTTAAAATTTAAAAAAAAAAAGGAAAAGTATTTTTAACAACAGCCCATTTCATAGAGCATTATATCTGTACAGTATAAAACTGCGTCATCAGTTAAATAGAGTTGACACAGCTATTTTAACAGTAGCTGGACAGTGAGAAGCAAATCTAAGAAAAAGAGAAAAAACTGATTTGAATACAAATGTAATTGCAGATCAAACAAGCAGATTCAGATTATTATTGTTCTAAAAGAGTAAGGGGCAGTCTCATGAAAAGTGCTAGGCATGTTGTCCTGGCAGGCTGTTTTTGATTCCTGAAACTTGCAGTGTTAGAAGGGAGAATTATTCATAGAGAAACTCTTGGTTAGGAGATAATTAATAATTTCTGAATTTGCTAAAAGCAATTCATGATTTGCTGAATTTGAGATGGAGTTAATTTCCTCTATAGCACCCTTCATAGTGCTGTGCTTTCTACTGGTAGCTGGAAGAGTGTTGGTACCACCAGTGTTTTAGCTATTGCCAAGCAGCACTCACGTGGCACCAAGGCTGTCTCTCCAACATCCCCCCTTATCAGTAGGCTGGGTGGGCAAGATGTTGGGAGGGAATATAGCTGGGGCAACTAACCCAAACTGACGAAAGGGGGATATTCCATGCCATATCACATCTGCTCACCAATAATAGCTAAGAGAAAGGGGAGAGGTTGGGACAGCATTTGTTACTATGTTTATCTTCTGGAGAAGCTGCTACTTACACTAAAGCTGTACTTCCAAGAAAGTGTCTGGACATCACCTGGTAATGGGAAGTAGTGAATAGATCTTTTGTTTAATTTTGCTTCTGTGAGTGACTTTTGCTTTTGCTTTATTTAACTGCATTTTTCTTGACCCCACAAGGATTTTTTTTCCATCTTATTTTCTCCCTACCTGGTCCTGCTGAGGTGCGGAGTGATAAAGCAGCTTAGTGTCACCTAGCATCCAGCCATGGCCAACTCACCCCAGTACTTTTTGGTTCCCCATCTGAGGCTCCAGGGAATCGAGGTCAGGATAGTAACTGGGAGAAGTAATGAGGAAAATATGGACTGAACAATGTGGAATGATGGTGCAGAATTTTGGTTATTGTAATTGTGGTAAAGGAATGAGGGGTGGATTGTGTGCAAAATTGTGTCCACTTTTGTTAGGTGTTGTAATGATGATTTTTTGATTTTGGTGTGGGATTGGTTTTTGTTGTTGTTGTTGATATGAGTGAAGATTCTGTGATTTTAATGATAATCCTTAAATATGTGATCCACAGAGGCAAGGAGTGGAATATATTGACTTTGTGTGGCCAGGTTTTGGATGGACCTGCTGGTAGCACATAGTTATCTGGGATAGCACTATAGCTCTGTGGTATCTGGGATGACATAGTTGAGAAGTAGGAGGGAGAGAAATGGCAGCCAGATAGAGGAGTTAGACTATGTGAGAGGAACAGCTCGGCAGGCACCAAGGTCAGAGCAGGAGGAAGGAGAGGAGATGCTCCAGGCACCAGAGCAGATTCCCCTGCAGCCTGTGATGCAGACAATAGTGAGGCAGGCTGTGCTTATTCAGCCCATGGAGGTCCCTGGTGGAGCAAATATCCACCTGCAGCTTGGGGAGGACCCTATGCTGAAGCATGAGGGTGCCCAAAGGAGGCTTTGACCCTGCAGAAAGCCTGTGCTGGAGCAGGCTCCTGGCAGTACCTGTGGTCCTGTGGAGAGAGAAGCCCCTGCTGGAGCAGGTTTGCTGGCAAGACTTGTGACCCTGTGCAACCAGACCATATCACCCAAGGCTCTGTCCAGCCTGGCCTTGAACACTGCCAGGGGTGGAGCATTCACAACTTCCTTGGGCAACCTATTCCAGGACCTCACCACCCTTACAGAAAAGAACTTCTTCCTTATATCCAGCCTGAATCTCCCCTGCTTAAGTTTGTATAATATAGTAGCACAGTATTGGAGTGTACAAGTCAAAGAGATTTCTCTTAGTGATGGATGTTAAAGAATCTATATTAATGAAATTTCACTTTTCTTGTCTAATAACTTTTTAGCAAACAGTAAACTTTCTGATAATACTGAAGAGCGAATGTATCTTGATACAGAATTCTTCTTTTTAGTATTTACTTAGTCCTGTAATTCATATTATAGTGTTTTAATGAACTGTTAGTAAAAACAAAAACATGTTAGATTCAAGCACAAATACTCTTAATTTACTAGGCATGAGGAGCTTTTTATACTGCACAGTATCTCATTCTCTGTGAAAAATATTTGAGAGGAAATGTGTCATACACTGATAGTTCAATAGCTATATTTAAATTAGACAATGATGACATCTTGTGATGAAATCCTTGAATGGATTTGCAGAAACCTTGGACTATATTTTCCTACTAGTGAAATCTGGAAAGACTTCATTTAGCTCTCGAGGGGAATCTTGTAAGGAGTGATTAGAGGAGCAGTGAAAGGGGAGAATCAAAACTGGCTGATGTGGTCATGAGGACTTCATCCACAGCATGCATTCAGAAACAAAAATATTAAAGCAGAGATTTCAGTTTGGTAGTGGTAAAGGTAATGGAGGAGTAAACTAGAAACTATGGAGGGAGAGATGGCTGCTGGTATCCTGTAAGAGCATGGAACATTCAACATCTGAATAGCTTAGCATTGAAATCAAAAGCAGGAGTGCTGACTAGAGGGCAAGTAAGAACTAATCTCAGTGATAACAGACAAGAGGAACACTATCCCAAGCAGTACAAAAACTCTACTGTAGAGTGAAAATAAAAGAATGTGCTGGCTACTGACTCCACTCAAGGTAATATGGAGACATCTGTATCACCAGGCACTTACAGCTGATGTATTTCTTCACCAGAGTCTGAATTTGCCAGGTTGCAAAAGATTCTTACGATCACTAGCATGTGATAAAGAATACTCATGATCCTGCCAGGAATGATCAAAATTGAAAGTGATTATAAGGCTTTGTGGCAATGGATAAAAATGATGATTCGAGTGATATTATTGTATCTCCTCTCACATCCAAGTCAAGCATCAGTTAGATACACCCTAAATATAATTACAAGGCTTCTATTCTGAGAGAACTTTAAATTAAGAACCATGTGGCAAGGATAAAAATCTTCATCTTAAATAATTGAAATTTGACATAGGTAAACCCCTGAGAAAGACAAAATTACTTAAAACAAGATTAAAGAATTGACTAGAAAATGTCACGGGTCACTTTGCCAGCTGTTTGTATGCTAATGGTAGAAGAAAAGGGAACAGAGAAGAATTAACTGAGGAATTAATGAGCAATAGACAAGAATAAATTGAAGATTATGGCAAAATTGGCATTGTAGAGAGTTTGTCATATATATTACACTGGTAGGGTAGACGGAAGAATAAAAGAAATGTTGGCTTGTCTTTCAAAAATACAATGGACTTGATAGTAATGGGAGATTTTAGTTGCCACAGCACTTGTTGGGAAAGAATTTTCATTGACAGACTGCACAGGAAAAAGTCTCAAGGAGGCAGACATCAATAAATTCAGCCAATTTATTTTAAAAAATCACTAGGGTTCAAGTTAAATAGAAATCTGTGGGCTCTTCAACAGAATACTGCTAAAGGCCGTAATACAAGCTTCACCAATATAAAGGAAAGAAAGTGTAAAAGACCAGCTTAGTTAAATTGTCATTTTTCTTTCACTTTAGATAAAGTGAAGAAAATGTCTCTCTTTACTGAGCGCTGTAGAATAGCACAAGCATGTAGAGACAAGTCAGAAGTGCCAAAGCACTCAGTGAGATGCAACTAGCAAGAGAAATGAAGATTTAATATAACATAATTACATTAGTGAACTAATAGGGAGAAGAATAAAGAAACCTTTGGCACTTAATAGAGGTACTGCAGGAAAGGAAAAGCTGCTCATAGTAGGTGCAGAGAAAGCAAAAACGTACAATGACTTTTTATCACACATTTTTACTGATAAGGTCTTCGTGGAGCATATGACATACACTCTAATCCTTAGAGTGTAACTTCAATTGTAGATAAGGAAATAGCAGGTTATATAGGGTAGGTATCTTAAAACTGATTTAATGAACTTCACTTTGTGTTACATAACTGTCTGAAAAACTTAAACCTGTTAGTGGTTTTTTGTGAGCATTCTTGGAGGATGGATGAGGTACCAACACACTAGAAGAGAATGATGTAGAGCTTATCCTTAAAAAAGGAAAGAAAGAAGAATCTTTTCTATTCTATAGTATGGAATCTTTTCAATTCATAGAAAAGTCAATGAATAG